TCTGGCCAAAAAACGCTTAGATGGTAACACTAGCTTCAACTAGTATCAACTATCCTTCTTCTCCTCTTCTCCTCCCAAGACAAGGAACATTCTCTACTCGTACTGTCTTTTTCTATGTGGTGAGAAGAAAAAGATATTGTTGTTTAATTGAAATTATTTACAGCGACACTGGCCATATTTGAAGACTGATTACAACTCAATTACTATTTAATAATAAGAAAGAAAATAACAAATAGCCCTTTCAAATCACAGAATCACAGAAGCAACAAGGTTGGAAAAGACCTACAAGATCATCCAGTCCAACCATCCACCCATCACCAACAGTTCTCACTAAGCCATGTCCCTCAACACAACATCCAAACGTTCCTTGAACACCTCCAGGGTCGGTGACTCCACCGCCTCCCTGGGCAGCCCATTCCAGTGCCTGGCCACTCTTTCAGAGAAGTAGTATTTCCTAATGTCCAGCCTAAATCTCCCCTGGCACAGCTTGAAGCCATTCCCTCTAGTCCTATCACCACAAGAGAAGAAGCCAACCTCCAGCTCACTGCAACCTCCCTTCAGGCAGTTACAGAGAGCAATGAGGTCTCCCCTGAGCCTCCTCTTCTCCAGACTGAATAATCCCAGCTCCTTCAGCCTCTCCTCATATGGCCTGTGTTCCAGACCCCTCACCAGCTTTGCTGCTCTTCTTTGAACCCGCTCCAGGGCCTCAATGTCTTTCTTGCAGTGAGGGACCAAAACTGGACGCAGTACTTGAGGTGCGGCCTCCCCAGAGCTGAGTACAGGGGAAATATATTAATGTATTAAATAAAGAAACTCACAGCAAATGAGAACACCCTACATAGTTGTATACATGTATTTAGACTTTGGATAAGAATTCTGCACAAAACAGTTCCAACCTCTTGGGAAAACCTTTCTGTAATCAAGGTTTTTACAAGATGCTACAACAAAGCTTGAGGAATGCTGAGCCTTTAGACAGCTAAGACGATTGCCATTTGGCCTCTTTAGTCCTGAACATATGTGAGATTACCACAGTCCAACAGCAGTCTTAACGTATTACACATTCACTTGTATGCAGACCATCCATCTGGACTCAAAAGCCAAAAACAGCAAAAGCACATTAAAACCGTGAAGGTGCTAAGCTCCACTAACATTAATTTTTGTGGGATTAGATCACATCTGTTAGAATGAAACAGTTTGATTTCTAAATTATATTCAACTGCGTATTTCCAGGTTTTAATTTCAACACATTATGAAGGAAAAAAAGAAAAGAAAAAAAAGAAAAGAAAAAGGCTTTCAACTGACATTTATCCAGCACCTGAGCACACGGGTGGCCCATCCTCAAAGTGCCAACTTTTTTCTTTATGAAACAGAAATTAAGCTTTCAAATTCTTTTTCCTCAACTTCCGTGAATACATTATTCAGTTTTTAAAACACCTAATGCCACGATGCTCTCACATACCTGAAATACAAATTTCAGAATATATCTTAGTAACTTGCTTACTGTATCAGAAAAATGCTAACCTAAATGCTAAAATCAATTACCAAACAATCTTTGAAATACTGGCTGGAAGGCACTCTGAATATAATCTTCTCCAGCTTCCTGCTCAACTTCAGCTTATAACCAAGGCTAGATCACATTATCCAAGGCCCTGTCTTGGTCTCAGAAACCTTCAAGGATGGAGATTCCACACTCTCTCCACTTAGCCTCTTGCCCTGCTGCACTACTCTGCTAGCAAAAAGGTTTGTTCTGCTGTTCAGCTTGAACCTTATAAGCCTCAATTTGTAAGCACTGCCTCTTGCTATATTATTTGCCACTATTAGGTAGTTAGACTTCATCTTTGTAACCCTAACTGCAAGTTGCAAGCAGACTTCTCCTCTTTTCCTCTCCCTTCCTTGCAAGACTATCAAACCTAGCTCCCTCGACTTCTACTCACCATCTGGTGCTCAAGGTCCCTAATAGTTTTGATAGCCCTGAAGCAGACTTCAGTTTCTCAGTATTGCCCTAGAAAGGGAACTCACAACTGGACACAGCATTCCAGGTGGAACCTCTGTAGAGCATTCTAGAGATGAGCCCACCCTTGCTCCTCCTGATCTAGCCAAGCCTGTCGTTTGCTTTATGCTATGAGGGTAATGTTGGCTCACATTCAACCGCACATCCACCACAACCCTTCAATCTTTTCAGCAAAGCTGCTCCTCAGCCAATCCCTTCCCAGCCTGTAGTGCTATAACACAGTAAAACTGAAGTAGAACTGGCAGAACTTCACACTACTCCTTGAACTTTTGGAGGTTTCTCTGGACCCAAACCTCAAGTTTAAGGCCTTTCCGGACTTAAGACCTGCAGTTTACAGAGCACAGTGATTTCATCCCCACATAGCACATGGTACTTCCTACAGTCCTTTTCTGTTGCCTGTCCTTATTTCATTTCTGTATACTCCTTTTTCGTGTTTTAGCTCATTGTGAGGTTTTCCGCTTGACCAAACAGGCTTCTTACTGAAACACCAAATAAGTGTTTCCTATTTGGGATATATCCTACACCACGGGATTATTTGTTTGTGAGCTGCCTTTAAGTTTTATTTAAAAATGGTCCCCCTCTCCTTGGCATTTGGCTGTTATCAAAGGATTTTACCTGCAGGTCTCCTGAAAAAGCAGAAGTCTGCGCTCTCCAAGCCTAGAATCTGAATTCTGCTGCTCACCTTCCCCAGCCTTGCTCCAGCTTCAGAGCTCAGTCATTTTATGGCCCCAGAGATACAGGCTACCATCTATAACCAAAACAGTCAGTTCTCCTCTACTTGTGAGCAGCAGACAAAATGTTACCCTTGGCTAGGCTCTCTGGCATATATACTGCAAAACTGTTACCAGCACTGTCTAGAAATTACTAAAAACTCATGCAAATACCAGACTGCCCTCCCAGCAGATGTCTGGATGGTTGAAATCCCCCACTAGTGTGAGGGCCCAGGAATGGGAAGCTTCTGCTAGCTCTCTGAACAGCAGCTCACGACATTTTAAAACCGTACAAAGATTCTTAAAGTACAATTTGCTCAGTTCAGAAAAGCCAGGCTATCAAACTAATCTAAACAGAGCACAGATATCAAGTAAAATGTCAATAATGTGTTTCAATTAAAAAGAAACTATGACTTAAAATAAGTAATGAGTTGTTTTGAAAAGTTCTTAGATACTGAGAAGATAATAACGCAGATGAAACAGCCTTCAAAATTCACTGTGGCATTTCCTGTGCAACCATTCTGAGTTTGTTAAGCAGGTTTGACTTCGGCCTCATCAATTACAATGGGCATCAACAGGTGCCTTGACTGTAACAGTTGCTAAACAGGAAAGCTTAAATTTTGAATGCCTGCCAAACAGAAAAACTTGGAAGCTATTTACTGACATTTACTCATGGGAGCAACTGTGAAACCCTACTGAAGACCACAAATACTCAGAAACTTATCTGCCTGGCAGCTCATCCCCTTCTTCCAGCCTTATCTGTGAGTCTAATAAAAGACATCGGGTTTTTTGCCACCTTCCTTTCTTAAATGTTAGAATAATTTTACATAACTCCGGCATAACTCCATACACTTCCAGGGACAGTTGGCTTTAAAAGTTCCCATCTACTTTTTCTGCCTTCTCAGCTGCACTGATGCAACAAGCATAAGGCCTTGCAGTAAATTAGATCACTGGAGTAATTGCAGCCATCACGAAGTCCATAAATACAATTAAGGATGCAACCAACAACAGCATGAACATTGTCTTTCAGATTTCTCTCAAACTTTACCACTGAATAGCTCTAGCAGTTCTTCTGTGGCCTTCTGTGCACCAGCAAGACAAATCTGCTTTATAAAGGCAGAGTTAAAATTGCTGAGCATGACTCTTTCACATAAAACAGGACAAAACAGACAACAGTTCCTCCCTTACGCTTAAAAACTACCACCACAGAGAGTAAATCAAATCTGGCAGGGATGTCAGATCCAAATTACTGCACACTCTACAATTTGCTCTTTGCCTGACTGTTAACAGCTTCCAGCCCTTACAGAAATAGTTTCCTTTTCAGTAGCAAAGAGACATGCAACATCAAGTCTTGCTATTAGTGCAGCCCCACAGAAATATCAGAAATCCATACTGCATACATAAGTTCAGATCAGCTCTTCAGATCTCAGTAACCCAAGAGGGCCTGTAAGACGACAGGCAAGCATATTTAAAATAAGATTTAAAAAATAAAAATTAAGAAAAAAAAAAAAAAAAACAGAAAATTAAGAATAAATAGGATCAGCACCTGAGAGAGCAAATAATCCTGATATCATCCATTTTCCTGTCTCTAACAGCTATGAGATTGTCTGGAGTTTCGAAGCAAGAGATTTAAATCTTCCTACCAAAACTACTACCACTATTAAATGTAACGGGGAATATTTTCATTATTCATACAGCATGCTCACATCCAGTTATATCCCATAACACTGAATTTTAGGAAGTGCTTTCAGTAATTCTGCTATTGACGCACTTCCATTTCACTGAACTTCTTGCTCACCAAGTCAGTCACCACTACTGACCCATCATCATCAGGCACTTGTTTCACAAACTGTTACTTTGTTCCTTTTCATTCTTGTTTTTAAAAATAAATAACCCCAGCTTTCTTTCTGTATTTTTTAAAAGTTAAATACTTTCTATTCAAGAATTCTTTCAAGAACTTCACAGTTATCTATTCTTCAAAGGCTCCTCGTGAAGGAAGCAAATACATATAACAGACACGAACAAAGTCAAACAACAGAAATTGAGGTAAATGGCACTGAAGGGGCCTTCAGAAAGCACCCCTCACCACAACCCCTTGGCAGCATTCTGTTTCCTTAATTCACAGCCGCTCATTGTAGACTCTATATTTAGCAGTTTGATGCTTCTGGCTGTCGTCCCGAGAAGTGCCAGCTACCATGGGCATATGTCACCACTTTTGAGCAGCAGTTCTGCTCTGCTCAGGCCCAAAGGGCATCAGAGGACACTCCGGGGCAGCCCGGGTCATCTTCCCAGCACACACACTGCTCAAGGTCAGCTCCACGCTCACTGCCACCGCTGATGGGAATCCCTTTTTGAACCACCTGCCTCGGCAGCCCTGACACCAGCCACAAAGCACAGAAACGGCGGCTCTGCAAGAACTAACTTGACTGAGGAGGGCGATGCTCACAAGCAGGGGCTGAGTCTCTGCGGGTGAGACGTTTTGGAAGAGAACACCGAGCCAAGACACTGCCCTTCATCTCATACGGCACCCAGTAACGTAAGGGCAAGCAGGGCCCATACCGCAGCCGGGACAGCCGCGGGCCCAAAGGGCCACCGGCAGCCTCCGTGGCTCCCCGCTGCTCGGGGCTGAGCACCGCAGCGCCGCTCCCTGAGCGCACGCACGGAGGAACTCCGCGGCACCGCGCCCGGCACGGGGGAGAAGGCCGAGGGGAGCCGGGGACGGGTGTCGGCGGGGTGGTTACCTGAGCCGTGCAGCGCCCGCACCTCCAGGCGGCCGGGCCGAGCCGCAGCCGCCCCGCCGGCCAGCACCTGCCGCAGGAGCAGGCGGACCCTGCGCGCAGCAGGAGCCCCGGCCCCGCCGCCTAGGCACAGAACCCGCGACTGCATGGCCGCGGGCAGCGCCGGGCCGAGGCGGGGAAGGGAAGCGCCGCCGTACAAAGTCCCACCGGAAACTGCAGCCGGGCCGAGCGGCGGCCGGGGCGGGCAGAGCCTGCGGGGAGCTGAGCGGCTGGGGGGCTGCGCCATCACCGTCCTTCCACTCCTCGCAGCACGGCTGAAGCTGGCATGGACCTCTGGGTCCCTCTGCTCCAGCCCCTGCCCCAGCAGGGACACCCAGAGCAGGGTGCCCAGGGCCATGTTCAGGTGGCTCTGGGAGATCCCCATGGAGGAGACCCCACAGCCTCTGTGCAGTCTGTGTCAGTGCTCTGTTACTGCACAACACAGAAGGGCTCCTGGTGTTCAGAGGGAACCTCCTGTGCTCCAGTTGGTGCTCATGGCCTCTGGTCCCGGCACCGGGCATCACTGACAGAGTCTGGCTGTAGCCTCTGGCACCGTCCCTCAGGCGTTTATGGGCATTGATGAGATCCCCCCTGAGCCTCCTCTACTGCAGCCGAGCAGCCCAGTGTCACTCAGCCTCTCCTCATATTTGAGGTGTATTCACTTCTCTGTGTCCCACTGGAAAGGAACTTCTTTTAAGAGGCCTTCCTGTGTGTAAAAACTCAGAACACAGAACTACAGTCCATAAAACACTGGACGAGGCTAGTCTTAGGACATAACCTATGTTTTTGCTTCTAAGCAGCTGACCATATTTTACCATTTCATAGAGGAACAGTTTAAAGTTTGAAGCTTTTAAGCAGGGAAAGTGAGAATTTATGTGATAAAAGGGGTAAAAAAAAAACAAAAAACCACCAAACTTATTGCCATATCAGCTGGCAGGTTTAAGTTCAGTAAGGATGGTTGGAGTGCTATCTGTAAGAAAGACACAATTTTTATATGAAAGTGACTGAACCCCGTGACTGGAGAAGCTTAAAACACCCCAGAAAACAAAGTATGGGCAGCAGCTGCTGAAATAAATTTACATGTAATAGATATTTTCTGATTTTAATTCCTTAAATTCTGTCACAACATGCTGTATTAATATGCCCTGTTGTCCCAGGACCACATATTTGGTACATTAGTAGAAAAAAAAATCGTATTGTTTTTAATTTTATCGTTTAAGACAAATTCCTGAAAAGTGATTTTACACACAGTTTAGGTTTGAGATTTTCATAACGTGGTATGAAAATGTAGATCAAATTATTCTTATTTTAACTGAAGTTACAAATTAATATATTTAAAAGATTGAGAGTAAAATAGAATAATTCATTACAGCCTGAAACTTTCATTAGGCTCCAGTGTCAACAAAAAATACCAATTTCAAGGGAAATCCACTTGCGTCTTGGATCTTGGCACTAATAAAAAAGAAGATAGATAGTGAGGGAGCCCAACCAAAGGTTGAAACGAAGTTTCAAAGGAGTCAAATCACCAGCTTTTTTTATCTGTATCTCAGTTTTTCGATATCTCGGATTTATTTCTCCAATAAATTTCCCATTTCTTGCCTGTTTTAAGCATTGAACAGTTATCCCAAAGGACAACTGCTGAAGAATAACTTGATAATCTGTTTAAACATAGACAAGTTAGACTTGTAAGCCCTGAAAAATGATGTTCTGAATTACCAGTATTTAGTCCTATACACATTTCTGCAGCTCAACATTATGCTCTAAACACTTCAGAATGATGAGATGAGGTGAGATGGGAAACATGAGTGTTTCCCATTGGCTAGCATGTTGTCTGTGTATAAATTCTTTTCTTAGTACCTAATGTAGGTTTTTGAACCTCCTTTCTGGGTCTAAGACATGTTAAACTAAATTGAAACATCCTTTTATAGACAGTGCCCTAATTTCTTGTAAACTGAAATCTTGAATGCTGAAGGCCAGAGATAACATGTGAGCTACTGTGTTCGCTACTGTGTTCAGTTCCAGGCCCCCCAGGACAGGAGAGATGATGAGCAGATATGGGAAGGAGTCTAATAGAGGGCCACCAAGATGATGAAGGGCCTGGAGCACCTCTTCTGAGGGGAGAGGATGGTAGAGCCCGGCCTGCTCAGCTGGAGGAGTCTCAGGGGGATCTCATCAATGCCCTTTCTTTTGTGTTTTGTTTTGTTTTTGTTTTTGTTTACACTGAGAATGATGAGGCACTGGCCCAGGTTGCCCAGAGAGGTGGTGGATGCCCCAGCCCTGGAGACAATCAAGGCCAGGCTGGACAGGGCTCTGAGCAACCTAACTGGGCTGTTCATTGCAGGAGAGTTCAACTAGGTGACCCTTAAGGGTCCTTTCCAACTCAATTCTATGAAACAACAAGATTTCTCCACATTTTGTACAGGTACTTTCAGCCTTTTTTAAAATCCTCACTGTATTTGTACATATATACACCTGTCAAGCTAAATGCTTTAAATTTCAGCTCTTTCTGAGTCATATATCTGTGAAATGTTTTGCCTTTTAAAACATTATCTTAAGATTCTAAATTAGTCAGCTTTTCCAAAACTTTAAATTCAGCTTTAAGTACAGCCTCGAATTTCCATTTTAGCATAAGAAAACTATTTTTACCGATTGTCAAGCTATTGCTGAAAAAGTTATAAGGGGAACATTGCCATCTCTCTGCATAATTATGAGCAGATATTTTATTGAATGTATGTGTGTATGTGTGTGCACATATATATATACACATACACACGCAAGCAATCAGATGTGTAACTTGAATGTTGCGTTGTTTTTATGCCATATTGTCAGTTATTAACCACTAAAAAATCAGTACAAATTAATAAAATGAGAGTATAGAAGCTGCCTTTTCTTTTATATATATGTATACATCCACGTGTGAAATTTTATCCTGCTCCACAATGTTACATTATTGCTTGAACATAGCATCTGCTTCACTTGCAAACCATAACTGTAAGTTCTGTGCAAATGTATATGCTTTACATACATGGTACTTGCTCCCTCCTTTTTCCTGAAAGCATGATTCCATAAGTAGTTCAGTCCTGTCATGAAGTGGAAGGATTTAGCAGTCTGCATCTGGTGTGCTGGCAAGGCTTTCCCAGATGATTTACAACACTGGTAACAAACAGCTATTTCATATTTTCATTCCCTGGCTTAACAGCATTCTTATTTGGAACGTGAAGTTTCTGAACAAAAATAATTTTCCTTTGATTAAACAGAAAAGAACTTATTCCAAGGAGCAAGAGCTCAGAAAGTATCTCTATGAGTTGACAGCTTCCAGACTCTTCTCTGTAGTAGCTGTCATCTACTTTGGTGCAGATCTGTAGCTGCAAGACAAAATTAGACACAGGTGCAGGCTGTAAAGAACAATGCATCATCTTTTCCTACTTATAGTCACTTCTCCTACACAACCAGATAGAACGCAAGAGAGATGAAACCATGGCTTTCTCTGAAGTTTGTAGGAAATCTTTTGAAGGTAGTGAGGCCTGATTTTTACCAAAGTGACATGGATGAACTGAAAGAATGTGATTAAGTCAACCAGTTTTCGTTTATTATTATCTCTTTGTCTAGAATATAGGTCTGTTGTTAAACTCCTTGAAAACTATGGCCAGAAAGAGGCAAAGAAAGAAGTCTATTAGAGTCCACACCATTCTCCAGTGCTGTGGGTTCCATCTGGTAATGTTAAGAGAGAGAGGCAAACCATAGAGACGGGCCTCACCCACCAAAAATTTTCATTCCCTAGCTCAAGAGGTAACCTTGTATCTCTTTTTAGTCAGGCAGAATTCATTTCCTTAGTTTAAAACTTGTAGTTGTTTTCCCGAGCTGTGTTCAATCATTGCTGGCTTGTGTTAGATAACAGAGAGAGAGAGAGAGGCTAGCTTGCTTTCTTTTGGCTTATATCAGTTTTGAACAAATTTAAGTACCGATTTCCATGGAACCACTTTGATTTACAATAGTGAGAGTATTTCTAACACCAGAAGGTGCTTCTCTTGTATGGAATCAACTTGGAACAATATAAATCGAATAAAAGTTGTCGTGCACAGCTGTTCCTGTGTTGACTTGAACCCTGAATTTGTCCTCTGTTTTAATCTAAGTTGGTTTTAAGAATGAATCAACATTGCGATACTAAGACTATTGTAAACTCTCTTCTTATCTCCTGATTCTTGCTAAACTGGCTTTCACTGGCAATTTCTTTCTGTGCATCTCTTGATTATTAGTACATTAACCTTTTTCTTCTGCACTATTATAAAATAGGCATGAGTGAAAGCTAGGTTATGTACCACAAATAGTGTTTATCACAGATTTTCCACTGATGAAGAATGCATAATTACCACCTCTTCGGTTAAGCGTTGAAAGATTTTTGCTCTGTTTGTATGACAACATCTTTCAAGGAATTAACATTCACTCCATTAGCTTTCTCAGTGTCTGTTCAGAGCCATCTCTTTGCGCGTTATGCTGTGCTGTTTGCACTGCTACACTGAACTACAACCAGTAAGGAGAAGGGCATTATTAATTTTTTTTTTTTTTTTTTTTTTTTTTGTAAGACATCGAGGTGAGGAGCTTCTTGCCATCTGATTGCTCACTAGAAACACCTGAAGTTGACCTAGCAGCCTCAAGATACTTAGAAGTACGTTCCTCACAGAACATTACTGCAGTCACAAAACCTGTTCATATTTTTAAAAGCAACAAAGAAGGTAAGAAAAGCAAGTACCATATTGAATGGTACTGCATATACCATATGCACATATATATATACCATATACCACAGATATATATCCATATATGTGTACTGTACAAATGCGCAGAGGATGAAGGCCATAAGTGAAGGCATCTGTAATTTCTTATGCCAAACTCATCTGTTTTCAGTAGTTTGTAACTCCACCATTCTTTAATAATTTGCACAGAAATTTCTCATGCTGAATTTCTGCCTCAGGCTGAAGGCTTTTTTTGAGAATTTGAACAAAAATAGCTTAGCCACTTTTCAGGAAAGAAAAAAAAACTTTTTTCTCAATAGCAGCTGTAACCCCTAGATTACTGGGAAGGCTATACAAATCAGCAGCCCCATCACTTGAGGGAAATGCATACAACCTTTCTGATCCTATTAAAGGGCAAGGAAGAGACTGGAAAGAATGAAATTTCCATCCTAGTTGATAAATCTGCATCTGGTTTTACCTATGTGAAAATAGCTCTTATACTAAAAGCTTCACTATTTCTGTGCTTTAGAACAGAGATTAGAGTTTTGCTAAGAGAGCCATTCTGGTTTCAGAAAGCTGATTTTGATGACCCCAGTTTTTGCTGAATCGTGAGCTTCTGAAAATCAGAGAAACACACTTCATTACAGTTCAGCAATTAACTTGTCTTATTCTGATTGAAAGAAGTCAGATGTAGGGTTTGACTGCATGGGCTGAGCCAGACTTACGCCTCTTACTTCTCCTTCAAAGCCAGAGTGCACTGCAGGCAAAGAGATTCATGTGCTTTCAGTGGTCTTCCTCCTTCTCTCCCTAGGTTGGGGAAGCAGAGGGATGAGGAGCCAGGCCTGAAAGGACTGTTAAAGAGTGGTGAGTTGAGCACAGGGAGCTCTAAAGGGAAAGAGAGCATGTGAAAGCACTAGAAAATGTTATGTACTAGGTAGGATGAGAGCAAAAAGGGACGTGAACTAAAGTTATGAAGGATGAGGTTAAAACAGGCTGAAAGCACTGTGGCCATCACAGTCTGCAGGTACTGGAGCCTTCAGTGTTCTGCTGCTGATAGATACAGCACACGCTCCTCAATATTTATCTGTTATTTAAAGCTTTCTCTTTGTTGGCAGTTGCAGCTAGGTGCAGATCTTTTGCTGACACATAGTATTGAAGTATATTACTGGTTATTGAAATTAAACTACTTTTGATATGAAAGCTTTCGTACAAAATCAGTGAGATGATCAGAAATCTTGATTTCTTTGTCTTCACAGATATATGTACCCTGGGAAAGTCTAGCAAGCATTACTTATGTGTGTGTGTGTGTGTGTGTGTGTGTGTGAGAGAGCTGATGGACTGACTGAGTATGTAGCACAGGGCTAACATGGGAAAAGGTAATGACCACTTCAGAAAGAGAGAGCTGGAAGAACCACTCAGCAAGATCCTGTCTCTCCTGTTGAAGAGCAACCTAAGCACTGACCACTACACCTCAGGGAACTCACTGATGTGTGTGCTAATTACCAACATAGGGTATAAGATCATTTCTGGCTTAATCTGTTTAGCTGCACTTGCATCGAACATATGCTTGTTGGCAAACATTTCCGATGTCCTTCCTCATGTCCTTCATGTTGCCTTCTTACCATAAGCCAACTTTTGTGACAGCTGGCTTCAAACACTGATACAAAATATCAGCTAAATAAACTCCACTGGTTTGTCCTTAGTATTTCATTTTGTCCTTAGGAGAAGCTCCAACTGTACACAAAGTGGGTTAGTCTGGTGGATGGGGAGTAGCTTGGTAAAATTCAGTAGTTCCCCCAGAGTGCCATCTATCCATATCCTAAAAAAATTCCTAAGTCCACAGCTCAAGAGTAGACCCAAATTTCTGGCAATTACCTTAAGAGTTAAGCAAAATATTCGATCTCAGATTACCTGAAGTAAATCTTGATCCATTTTCATATTGAAATGATGTTTGCCTTTTTTTTTCTTAAGTTATGAACACCTTGTTTTTTTTCCAAATATTTATGTCTTGATAAATTGCATTTTGCTATCTATGAGATATTGCACAGAATAATCTGGGAAGGGTCACAGGCAGCATGAGCTGCTGAGATAACATCATCATAAATGCCAAAGTTCCTGATGGCAGGATTAATCTTATCCCCTATAATTCAGCATTGTCCTTGTCAGGCTAATTCTGTGCACCACAAAGGTCATTTAAATTAACCAGAATTGTGAGGCAATCTCACAGGCTCACGTTTGCCCTTAAAGAACAAAATCAGCTTTACTCTGGCTGTGGAACTTGCAACGTGACTTCAGAAGGAACCGAGGCCACTTGTTTGGGTTACACGTTCCCAAAAGATGTAAATACTTGCTGCCTTATTCCCAAACCTTTGAACTCTCTGCAGGCATTATTTTCACAAAATAAGTCATCAACCTGCCTGGCTTGGTCACAGAGTAGAGCTGTGGGTGACACACAATGACAGATTTAGCCCTGAGCAAAGGCTGAGGTGAGCACCCAACTATTCCATTTCCACACAAATATCCTAAATCTTTGCTGGAAGCAGCTGCCAGCAAATACTCTGCTGGTATACGTTCTGGGCCCAACCAACAGGAGAGTTTATAATCAGCTGCCTGACCTCTTGACCTCGTGAAAGTGAAAAAAATGCACAAAATTATGCCTGCTGTGCTGTCATCTGGGAAAAGCCTGCACATCACCATTGCATTAACACTGCATAAATACTGAATGAAAATCTTCAGACTCTGCATGCACAGAAATACAGATTTAAAATGGCTCTGTGACCTGGTCTGAGATTTGAAATGCTGCACAGAGCTGCATTGATATAATCTCCTGTTTGAATATTAATCTCTTGTTTTTAATATAAATTAAAATGAATAAGATGATCATTTTTTTTCCAGGAATTTTAAACAGAACATTGATTAAATCTGTATTTAAAGAATCAACTTTAAGAAAACAAACAAACAAATACAAAACCAGCTGTCATGAGGCTGTGATGTGGTTTTCTTTCTGAAAGAAAAGGTCATAAACAAGCTTGATTCATCTCTCATAAAGAATCATAAAATCATAGAATGGCTTGCCTTGGAAGGGAACTCAAGGATCATCAAGCTCTAACCCCCCTTCTGCAAGCAAGGCCACCAGCCTTCATATGTTATACTAATAAAGTACATATCTGAAGAGAAGTCCAATCTTTACTTTCTCTAGACAAGACTATTTAACACAGATCCTCCAGGGAAACTCTGAGTTGATAGGAATTCTCTTCGTGCTTGCAGAAAAGCGGGAATACCACTTACAGACTGGACAAACCTTACAGAAACTGATTGTTTCACCTATTTGTGGTGCCTCTCAGTACAAATGCAACCTTTTAAATTAAAAACTAGAAATGTTAACCACACTAACTGTGGTTACCTTTACATTGTTCAGAAGAACAAGTGAAAGCTGAGATGAGCTGGGTTACTCCTGGGTGATGGAGCACTGGAACAGGCTGACCAGAGAGGTGGTGAAGTCTCCTCTGGAGATATTCCAGACCTGTCTGGACACCTACCTGTGTGACCTATTGTAGGGTATCTGCTTTAGCAGGGGCTTGGACTCAATGATCTCTTGAGGTCTCTTCTAACCTTCCACAGTTCTGTGATTCTGTGAAGTGAGGAGAGCTTCCAAAAGAAAATGCATGAAGTACAAAAATCTCTTTCTTTTTAGGTCAACCAGAGTTACACTTAGTGAATATGCAACTTGCTTTCAGCTGCTGTCTTTTGATGTACTGTAGCTAACTACGTAACTTTATCAGTCTGGAAAGATTCAATTTTATGAAAAGTGAAAGAAATGTGAAGATGGTAATTATGAGGAGATTAAAGTAACGCAGTACAAATTCAGCTCCTATGGAGCTGGATTTTTTCTTTCTTTTCTAAGTGACTGTAGGATTATTTTCTTTTTAAAGCAAACACCTTTAAAGTCCCTGATGGAGCCTCCTAAATAATAGAAGATCTCAAATATCTGTAAATAAGTCTTCAAAATTGAAATAACGCATCTCTCTGTGTTGGAAGGAGTAACCCAGCCCATCTCAGCTTTCACTTGCTCTTCTGAACAATGGTGTTTTGCTGTGTTAATATCTTAAATGGCTTAATGTTCTAAGGGTGCTTAAATGGGATTGTGGAGCTTTCATTCACACTGGGGACACTATTCTTCAGTCACCATTCCTTTCTCAGTGTTCAGCATTAGTTTTGCCCAAAGGTCAATGTAAGGACTTCTCTAACCTTACCTTCATTTATTTTCTCACTTCACAGTACATCAAAGTAGTCTGAGAGCACTGGAAAGCATGTCAAATGCAGTTATGCCTTCAAAAACTCAGAATTCGAGAGCTTAACCCAGTTTGCATACAACTAGTCAGTCAGACTTGGATTTCAAAGAATAAATACAATTACTCATGTGAGTAGGTGTTAGCAGAACTGGTCCATGCAGCACAATAAATCATCTGATGGGAAGAAGGATTTGTTTTGTAAGAACTGAGAGTGGTTGGCCTTGATACATATTGTGCAAGGTCATCTGACAGTCTAGCCAGTTAATTTGTGCTGTATGGGAGAAGATGGTATGGTAGGTAGTGATAGTGCCATTCCTCACAGTAAATCAGCATCTGAAATCCCTTCCTATGTCAACACAGGTGAGCTCCTCTGTTCTGAATTGGGATATGAAGCAAATATGAAGCAGCTTACTGCCTTGGAAACCAAAATGCCCAAGTAAAAGGACTGGCTCAGTCACTCAGCATGCAGGAACTCAACAGTGAGTTTTAGTTGTTACTCTTAATTATTATTCCCATTTGTAGTAGAGGGCACTTGAAGAAGAGAAGGTGGGGTCCTAACGAACAGGAAACGAGCGACCTGAGTGTCACTTCAATAGCAGTTATTGAGTGCAGCTCACAGCATTTATCTAACTTGAAGACTTAACTGTGCAGCTAATTGCTTAATTATAACAGAATTTATTTAATGTCCCACTTCAACAGAACAAAAGAAAGGAAAATCAACAGTACAGTTTGCACATATTCTAAGGAAAAAAAATTGTGCCATGGAAGTGCCAAAGCACCACTTTAGTGATAGGTTTTTCCTCCTTCAGATCTTCATCTGAGAACCTGAAAAATTTCCCTCGCCTATGAAATACAGTCACAAATATGTTTGGCATTAATACTAATAATATTCAGCGGCCACTGTCAGTACCATCAGATCCAGGAGAGATTCCATTCTTATAATTCAATATGTATTTATTTTTACCTAAATTACAGAAGAATCATTTTAAAAAATGGAGTAGGCCATGTTATCTTTTGTCCATCAACCGCTAGAATATATCTATGCCACTAAAAGATTATAATCACTCAGAAAAGGTGTTCCAAATTTGTGACATGATTTTACTGTCCCTGACTTTAAGTCTACTCAGTCTAATTTTTTCAACCAGATCCCAAATCAGAACACCGAAAAATCTGCTGTACACAGACCCCATGCTAAGCCCCAATTTGAGCTTATCTGGGAGACAGAAGAATCAATGAAAAACAATATAGTATAATGATACTTATTTCAAGCGAGGAGGTCTGAGAACACTGCATGACTTGTAGCCCAGACAACTGATACACAGGGGAACAGGAACAAACACAGGCTTGAATAGTGAAGTAATTAGGGCTGGAATAGGGGTGTTACTATATATGGATTATTGAATTATAATGATAACAATGTAGCACCATGATAAAAATGAGGAAGAAAAAGAAAGAATCAAGATTAAAGGTTCTGTTGGCACACCAAAAAGGTAATCCACCAGAGGGAGACAAACTGAAGAAACCGTTGCACTGAAGTCAGGTTAATCAATGAAGTGGAAGAAAGAGGAATTGTGTAGAATTAAACACAACAATTTATATATTTTTATCATTAATTTACTCAGCTTTCTTACTTATCTTTCTTTCTTGCCAGTGTCAGGAAATCCAAATATCTCTTTTAATTTTTAGATTTCCTGCTAATTATGTTGGGTAAGAAAAGTGATTCTACTGAAAGTGTGACATCTGTAATTCATGAAGCCTATTTCTTGGTTCTGGAAGCATTTCTCATTATTAACAAGTCCATGTGAAAGAGCCATCATTTAGATTCCTACTGTTTCTTGACAGAAAGAATGTGCAATGTAAAACAAGTTTAATTACAGAAGTATTTCAGATTGCTTTTATATCTTCAGAGGTTTGCAAACAATTATTTAGCAATGTACTACTTCAACAAGGTTGACCAACACATGTTTGGCTGTTGGCTGGGGTCAACCCAACACAGTCCTTTCAGACCCAGACATCTACTTTCTTCTTTATCTGATTTGAATTGTTCCTTTTTGTACGGTTTTTGATACCTTTTCAATGGAGTCAACATAAATGTTCTGTGTTGCAGTTCAGTTGAGTTTCCTCTTTATCCCTGCATTATCATTTATTTTTGCTTTTTTTGTCAGCATTTTTACTGTGTTATGATATTATTTCTGATAGTATGTACCCCTTTTGTTCAGTAACAGCCATTCATTACGTTAGTTGTAACATTCTGTACTGATAAAGCTGTAGGCTGAGCAGATCTAACAAAATAGGAAAAGGTTGAAACATCATTAGTGACATGCTAAATTTTCAGGTGCTTCATGTGCTTACTTCCTCGTTTCACAGCTAATTACCACATTTATACTGAAGTACTTACTCTTACTTCACT